AGTAGAGACGGGGTTTCACCATGTTGACCAGGATGGTCTCGATCTCTTGACCTCGTGATCCACCCGCCTCGGCCTCCCAAAGTGCTGGGATTACAGGCTTGAGCCACCGTGCCCGGCTTAGGTTGTCATATTTAAAACACCATGGACTGGGTGACGTAACAGAATTTTACTTTCTCCTAGTTCGGGAGATTAGAAGTCCCAGATCAAGCTTTTGGCCACGTTGGTCTGTGGTGGCAGCTCTCTTCCTGTGTTGTAGATGGCCACCTTCTTGCTATGTCCTCACATAATCTTTCCTCAGTATGGAAGAGTAAAGGGAAAGCTCTCCATTAACTCTTCTGTTAAGAACACTAGTCCTGGGGCGGGCTTACGCCTATAGACCCAGCACTTTGGGAGGCCGAGGCAGGTGGATCACGAGGTCAAGAGATCAAGACCATCCTGGTCAACATGGTGAAACCACGTCTCTACTAAAAATACAAAAATTAGCTGGGCGTGGTGGCACGCACCTATAGTCCCAGCTACTCGGGAGGCTGAGGCAGGAGAATTACTTGAACCCAGGAGGCGGACGGAGGTTGCGGTGAGCCGAGATCACACAATTGCACCCCAGCCTAGGTAACGAGTGAAAGTCCTTCTCAAAAAAAAAAAAAAAAAAAAAAAAAAAAAAAAAAAGAACACTAGTCCTATCGGATCAGGGCCCCACCCTAATGACCTCATTTAACCTTAATTACTTCCTTACTCCAAAAACTGCACCCAGAGTAATAGCTTTGATTCTAAAAGTTCATCTTCTTACCCTTTATGCAAGACTTACAATGGTACAAGCTATTTAAGGCAGACATTTAAAAGAGGACCAACTGTTTGGAGAGTCTTTGGTTCCCGGTACTTCTTGTTAGCCACTCAAGTTTCATCTGGCCCAGCAATTTCCCTGCCTAGCTGGAGCAACTTGGGTTCTCCGGGCTCCCATCCCAAGTCCAAGCTGAAGTGTCCTCAACTCCTCCAGCTGCCAAGGAGCATTTATCTGGTTCCCCAGTGCTGTCTCCCATGGTTTCCTAACATTATTTCTCTTTCTCCAGTTTCTTCTCTGCCTTCTGTCTGAAGGTGTATATTCTATTTCTGTTTCAGAATGAATTTCTCTTATGCACTAGAAATATGTTTTCATCATCCATTAACTCTAAACGAGAACCTAAAGGTATATAAAAACACCCTTAGCTTAGAACTGCTGAGTGACTAAGTCACAGAGAAGAACAGGCAAATACCTCCACTGCTTCTAAGACTGCACATGCTCAAACTACCACAAATGCCAGAACAGAGCATTGTGTTATCATTATCAAAATTAGGGCAAGGCCAGGTATTTCCAGCATGCCTGTAATTCCAGCACTTTGGGGGGTCAAGGTGGGAGGATTACTTGAGTTCAGGATTTTAAGACTCACCTGGGCAACATGACAAAACCCCATCTCTACAAAAAAATACAAAAATTAGCCAGATGTGGGGCATGCACCTCAAGTCCCAGCTACAAGGGAGACTGAGGTGCGAGGATCACTTGAGCCTGAGAGATTGAGGCTGTAATAAGCTGTGATCGTCACTGCACTCCAGCCTGGGTGACAGGGCAAGACTCTGCATCAAAAAACAAAAACAAAATTAGGGAAAGTACACTGTGAACAAGTGTTTATTCAGCAAATTTTTCAAAATTTTTTTCTGAAATGGAGTTTCTCTCTTGCCCAGGCTGGAGTGCAGTGGCGTGATCTCTGCTCACCACAACCTCTGCCACCCAAGTTTAAGCAATTCTCCTGCCTCAGCCTCCTAAGTAGCTGGGATTACAGGCATGTGCCACCATGCCCAGCTGATTTTTGTATTTTTTTTTTTTCTATTTACTGTACAGCTAGAAGCACTATTGGAGTAGAGATTTTTGTATTTTTAATAGAGACGGGGTTTCTCCATGTTGGTCAGGCTGGTCTTGAACTCCTGATCCGCCTGCCTCTGCCTCCCAAAATGCTGGGATTACAGGCATGAGTCACCACACCCGGCCTCAAATGATTTTTTTTTTTTTTTTTTTTGAGACGGAGTTT